AAAGAAATGAGGATGATACACCTCTGCGAATGTAACATGGCGGCTGTTAGCAGTGAATGTTTTAATTAGTGGAATCGAGTAGTGAGTAGCTTGCAACGTTGCGTCTATGGGATTGGCGGCAGGGCTGAAAAATAATTAATCACCCACAAGGCCGCGTAAACGCTTTTGAAATATATCAGGGTTGGAAAATGTGAATTTCGGTTCTCCAATCAACTTATGCAGTAATAGTTCGTTTTTTTCTGGTCCACACTCTTGGAAAGATAGGGCATAGTAAGAAGAATCAGGTACTCTTTGGAGCGCTATAATGAACCGAAAAACTTTAGTGATACAACATACCTACCGTATATTTCCACGTATAGGGCACCTTTAGGTATGACGAGGTAAAAAAAAAATATAGAAAATTTTCATGAATTTATCCTATCCTCTGTAGCTAAATGGTATAGCACCTCAAACTATATGACTGTTCTGTGTAGGATACAGGTTCGATTCCTGTCAGTGGACATATTTTCTTTGAGATTTCTCGGACATTCATGCCGGTAATTGTTGTTAATGCTGTTTATTATAAATAGAGCATTTACTTAAATACTGTTTATCTAAAAAATAACGTATAAACAATATATATTACAGAGAAAGGGAAATTTCAGATATGAGACTGAAAGAGCATTTACTTAAATATTGTTTATCTAAAAAAATAACGTATAAACTATATATATATATAGTTTGATATAACGTGTGTATATATAGATAAATAGTTTATACGTTATTTTTTTTAGATAAACAATATTTAAGTAAATAAATGCTTTTTCCGTCTCATATCTGAAATTTCCCTTTCTCTGTAATATATATATATATATATATATATATATATATATATATATATATATATATATATATATATATATATATATATATATATAGAGAAGGAAATTTCAGATATGAGACTGAAATCAAAAAAAATAATACGAAGCATAAAAAAATAATTATCAAGGAATTTTCGCTGATATTTAAAAAAAAAACTTGTATATATATACATTGTCTTTAAATCTCTGTGGTCTGCTGTTTTATTCCTATTCTAAGAGATGTTCTGCATTTTTGTCCTCTTCCTTTTCTCTCTGTATTCTTCTCCATCTCTTTCTTCACGTTGTCTTCTTCTTCACCTGAAGAAAGCCGGAGCGTACAACGGCCGAAATGTCGTGAATATGGCAACGAAGATGAAGACAACAATGGGAACCATGTGGATAGTGTTTCTTCTTTTACTTCATTTTCTATCACTTGGTCTCTTAAATATTTTTCTCTTTCTTCCTTCTCGTGTTTCTCTCTTTCTCGTTCCTCTTAGTTTCTCTCTCTTTGTATTTCTTCTTTTTCTTCATACCTTGTTTTTCTCTTTCTTAAGACATTTTCTTCTATTTTCTTCTACCCATTTATTTTTTACTCGTTCTTCTTTTTCTTTCTCATACTTTTCTGATTTTCTTCGTTCATTCTTTGTTTCTCTGCCATTTTTCTTTTTTCTTCTTCTCTTTGAATCGATATTTTTCTTATTTTCTTTACATCATTGTTTATGGGGTCCTCCCCTTTTTCATACAAGTGGACTCGACCAGTGTGTACTTGTACTGCTGCCGGTGAATACCCGAGAGTTAGTTAGAGATTAATTGAGTGAGTAACAGAGATTCACGGATATAGTGAACAGTGAGAGAGCAATAGTGTGAGGTAACTGCTTACTAGGAGTCACAGTTACGAGCACGTAGACTCAGAAGGAAGTCATATTTCGATACTGAATTTCCCAGACTGTATATATATTATTATTGCTACTAACCGCATTTCTGGATCTACTAACCGTATTACCAATTGTATTATTACGTCAATGCATTTATTTGCTATATTTCATTCCTGCGTTTGTCATTCATTTGAGACCGGATTTCATTCCGGAATCCACGACAATCATTTCTTCTTTTCTTCTCTCTTTCCACATTTTAGTTTTCTTCTTTTACTCTTCTTATTTCTTCTTTTGTACTACTCTCTCCTCTTTTTTTCTTTGTTCCGATTTTTTTTCTTCTTTTTTCTTTTATTTCACCTTCCTTTTCTTTTACCTCCTTTTTCTTTTTGCTTTTCTATCACTTTCGTATTTCTTCTCTCTCTTTTGTCTTTTCTTTTTTGTTTATCTCATCATTTTTCTCCTCTTCTTTTCATTTTCCTTCGATTTGTCTCTTTATTTCTTTACTTTCTTCTTCTTCTTCTTCTTCTTCTTCTTCTTCTTCTTCTTCTTCTTCTTTTAACTTTTATCTCTTCTTTTGACTCCCTCCCTGCATTTTTACAATAATTACCGCCTTCTTTTTTTATTTCCAGCCCCAGAGAAATTTTGAATTCAAATCTCAATAACAGCAACAATTTAACATGCACAGATTTAAATTAAGACCCAAAAGACAACTTTGATTATTTACACTGAAAATTTGGCAATTACTCAAGAATTGAAAAAGGAAGTCTGGGGAATCTAGGAAAATGGAGGGAAAATATAATAGAACGCGCTGACAGTTTCATATTTCTTTGCTTTTGTTTTTCTTTTCTTTTTTTTATCCGTGTCATTGTATTTCTTGGCATGTAATTAGAACAACACAAGATTAACATTGTTTATTGGCGAATTTTGATGAAGCTAATCTTTCAAATTGTAAGAGACGGCCGCATTGATTGCCTTTAAAATAAGCCTTTATTGGAATTTAACTTGGATGGAAAATGTTTAATTTTATCAGACATAACGGACTTAGCTTTGTTTCTATCTTGACCTGGCTTCATATATATATATATATATATAGAAGGAGATATACATATATATATATATATATAAATATATATATATATATATATATATATATATATATATATATATATATCAGTGGCAACTCTAGGTCATCAATATTTGTCGGGCTCATTACATTCTTTAACAAAATATACCATTGGTATAACTTAGATCCTAAAATGATTCCTTTACTCTAACTAAAAATATCATTTTTAAAAATCGCTGGGCATGAAATTAAAAAAAAATCACATTTTGATATCTTATTATTAATTGTAATAATTCTCTAAAGGCAAACATTTATTTTTGAAAAACTTTCCAGACATATAAGAAAAGAGTGAAGACAAAGTCTTTGATATGTCCCATTTTTTTTTATAGTCTGTTTATCCAATCACTGATGGCAGAGTGTGTGTTTGTATATATGTCTATACATTAGTCTGTTTGTGTATCTCTCTGACTGTGAACATTTAGTTTAATTTATTCTACGTTTATGATCAGTACTGCTGATTGATATCATATTTCCTTAACACTACCTCAGTCACTCTCCTCACCGCAACCCTCCAGTCGACGAGTTAAGGCTGCCATTTCTTTGATTTCCGCCGAATTGAAGTCGAGCTAAACTTAAGTTGCACTTTCTCAAAAAATACATTCCGCTAAAAAAAAAAAACAACCTTATACTGTACGGAGTAAATGATTTAAAGTGGATATTTGAAGACAATAAGTTGAAATAAAAATGTGTTCTTTCAAAAACAAGTTATTCGAGATTTTAAAAGATTATTTATATATCGAAGCAAGAAATATATTGCCTATTTATTAAGTATGTCCCCAGCTCAGATAGGATCAAGCCTACGCAGCCCGACTAGCCACACTAATTTTATTTCATTCGTTTTTTTACTTTCTTTTTTTTTTCTTTTTCTTTATTATGAATAATATCAACGAAATGTATTTCGGCCAATATTTTGAGGCACGGTGTTAAAACAATTAATTTTGGATCCAGACAATAATAAAAACGACACACTGCGAATGATGTTTGTTGCTTTGAAATAGATATACTTGAATGTTGACTCACTCAAAGATGCATTAACCTACAAATCACTCAATGAATGTTATGATCCTTGTTCTGGACTGTACATTCGTCTCGGAGACTTCCATGAATTTTACTAAAAACAAAATAATTTCCATGCCTGAAGATGACTAAATGTACAGTTGAAAGTAATTACATATTAAAGAAAGACCTTATACAGCTTATAATTTTTAAAAACAAGGTTTATAAAATTCATCGAGTGATTTGTAGGTTAATACACCTTTAAAACTTTGTTAGCGAAGGGATTTTGCCATTTTATATCATTAACTTTACTAATCTACATTTTATATAAATGATTCATTGTAATATAAATTGAACTGCACCACATATTTGATATATATATATATATATATATATATATATATATATATATATATATATATATATATATATATTATAAATTAATTGATTTAAAATATGTTTTTTTCGCTACACAGTTCCAACCATGTTTCAAAAATAGAAGCTAAAAACCCCGAATTTAATTTTGTAATTAAATTAAAAGCATTAGTTTCGCTTGAAGATGAAATGGAACTAATGCTTTTAATTTAATTGCAAAATATTTTAAATCAATTAATGCATAATATTAATGCTCTGTAAATTTACATTGAGCACTATTTTGTAAAAATAAAAATATCTATAAGAACACTGGATTTTATATCTTACTGTTCTTTCTTTATATATATATATATATATATATATATATATATATGCATTATCTGTAGATTATATATACACGATAGTAAATGCAACTTGCAAATTTATTACCCTACATATAATCGATCCTACTTTTTCTGGTACTATTTACATCAATGATTTTTAGTCAACCAATACTTCTTTCTATTTTGGCAATGTGGACCCCTTATTTAAAACCAACTCTAAAAACGACTGGCAGATTTTCTTCTGCTTCTAATTTGCATTCAGTCAACATCAGAGAAAAAAAATTACATGAAATATTTGTAGTGGTGAAGGTTTTTCAAATTCTCGTCTCCGTTCTGTCCTCAAATTTCAAGGCCAAATAATGGCCGACCGAGAAATATTTTGTAAATCGCTCTACATTCCAGTAAGTCACGTGCGTTGACATTTCCCTGGCCCCAAGGGTTGCAGATAGAAAAATTCTGGAGTATTACGTCAGCTGCTAGCAAACCTTTTGTCCTTAATCTGCCCACTTTCCAAAACGAATGAAGAGCGAAAGAAAGAGGAAGATAAAGAAAATAACGACAGAATGACGAGTACAGCAAGCGTGGGATAGAGGGTGGGAAACTGAGCATGGCAAGATATGACGCACTTTGAAGGTTTGTGGGAAATAATGTTTGATTGCTCACGGAGGGAAATGAAAAGGAGGGTGCAAGGATGATCAGGTGATAATGAAAGAGTGTGCCAGAGAGAGAGAGAGAGAGAGAGAGAGAGAAATAAAGAAAGTAACAACACTTGATAGATAGATAGATAGATAGATAGATAGATAGATAGATAGATAGAAATGAACAAAGACAAGCCCAAACTAACAGAGAGACAGACAGAAAAAGATACACATACGGAGATAGATAGATAAATAGATATGAAAATATTCAGATAGATAGATAGATATTCACAGACTAAGATGGATATATATTCACACGTTGATATAGATAGATAGATAGATAGATAGATAGATAGATAGATAGATAGATAGATAGATAGATAGATAGATAGGTATTCACAGATTGAGATGGATAGATATTCACATGTTGATATAGATAGATAGATAGATAGATAGATATTCACAGATTGAGATGGATAGATATTCACAGGTTTAGATAGATAGATAGATAGATAGATAGATAGATAGATAGATAGATAGATAGATATTCACAGATTGAGATGGATAGATATTCACAGGTTGGGATAGATAGATAGATAGATAGATAGATAGATAGATAGATAGATAGATAGATACGAAGAGACTGAGAGCGACAGACCGACAAAGAGTTTAGAGGGAGAGCTACAAAGAGAGAGAGAGAACGAGAGATTATATGCATAGATAGATAAGAAAAGACTGAGATAGATAGATAGATAGATAGATAGATAGATAGATAGATAGATATTCACAGATTGAGATGGATAGATATTCACACGTTGATACAGATAGATAGATAGATAGATAGATAGATAGATAGATAGATATTCACAGATTGAGATGGATAGATATTCCCAGGTTGGGATAGATAGATAGATAGATAGATAGATAGATAGATAGATAGATAGATACGAAGAGACTGAGAGCGACAGACCGACAAAGAGTTGAGAGGGAGAGCTACAAAGAGAGAGAGAGAACGAGAGATTATATGCATAGATAGATAAGAAAAAAACTGAGATAGATAGATAGATAGATAGATAGATAGATAGATAGATAGATATTCACAGATTGAGATGGATAGATATTCACAGGTTGGGATAGATAGATAGATAGATAGATAGATAGATAGATAGATATGAACAAAGATACACCAAAACTAACAGAAAGACAGAGACAGAAAAAAGGTGAATATAGTGAGATAGTGTTATATACTGTACCTATGAACACTAATGGGTATGTTCCAATCCTCATAAATACGTTGGAAACTATTATAAGTGGGGGTAATATGGTGTCTAAGTAGTGCACCACTAGCAGTGATTTACTTACTTCAAGCCGCTGGCGAGTATTGTATTTTGTTGATGTTATAAAGGTTACCATTTTATTTCCAACCTCCGTTTTGGTTATTCCTCATTCAGTAACATTTCTCAGGTCACAATAGATAGATAGATAGATAGATAGATAGATAGATAGATAGATAGATAGATAGATATGAACAAAGATACACAACAACTAACAGAGAGAGAGGCAGAAAAAGATGAAGATAGATAGATAGATAGATAGATAGATAGATAGATAGATAGATAACAACGAACAGAGAGAGTGAAAGGCAGAAAAAGATGAAGGATAGATAGATAGATAGATAGATAGATAGATAGATAGATAGATAGATATGAACAAAGATACACAACAACTAACAGAGAGAGAGAGGCAGAAAAATGAAGATAGATAGATAGATAGATAGATAGATAGATAGATAGATAGATAGATAGACAACAACGAACAGAGAGAGTGAAAGGCAGAAAAAGATGAAGGATAGATAGATAGATAGATAAATAGATAGATAGATAGATAGATATGAACAAAGATACACAACAACGAACAGAGAGAGAGAGAGAGGCAGAAAAAGATGAAGATAGATAGATAGATAGATAATGAAGAGATAGATAGATAGATAGATAGATAGATAGATAGATAGATAGATACACAACAACGAACAGAGAGAGTGAAAGGCAGAAAAAGATGAAGGATAGATAGATAGATAGATAGATAGATAGATAGATAGACAACAACGAACAGAGAGAGTGAAAGGCAGAAAAAGATGAAAGATAGATAGATAGATAGATAGATAGATAGATAGATATGAACAAAGATACACAACAACGAACAGAGAGAGAGAGAAGCAGAAAAAGATGAAGGATAGATAGATAGATAGATAGATAGATAGATAGATAGATAGATAGACGAAAACTAACAGAGAGACAGTGACAGAAAAAGATGAATATACTGATAATCGTCACACTGTCTGTTGTCGCTTTACGGTTGATATTCAGTTTAATAAATAAAAAAACTGCGTCTATTTAAAAATACGAAGTATCCACTTCATAAAAGTTTCAAATAATAAAAAGTAGGTACATATTTTTGTCTGCACTACTTATCTGGAAATGATACCAGGCCTTGATTTAAAATTGAATATAATATATACGAACGGTCGATTTGTACGGCTTTGTCACACATTCGAGTCGAGCTGGGATCTTTCCCAGCTGCGCTAGTCGAACTCTCTGCCTTCGGACAGAGAGGAACCCGGACGAAGTGCAGAGTCTCGTCCGGGGAGGTAGACAGACCCGATCCCGTTTATGCGGGGTCCACGGGGATTTTTTGGCCGGGCCTACGTGCTCGGGAACCCCACATTAAATTCGGCCTTGTGCCACATGTGACTGCGTGGGGCAGCTTCTAAATAGCGTTACACATTCGGTTCAAATGGGCGTATGCATAAATATTTGCTTCATTGTAGTTTGTGCACTAAAAAAATTATATTCCGTACGACCTTAATTTGTATAAAATAAAATTTCCATTCATGAAAATGTTTTCGAAACAAGATGTAAATTTAAAATTACTGTTAGTATCACTTTTCATTTTTTTTAGTTTATCTATTTAAAAAAATCATTCTAAATGTTTTTCAATAACTGAAAAAACAATGAGCAAAAATCAAAGTAAAGAGACAAATTGCTAGCAATAAAAATAAGAGACTGTTTAAATAAAAGCCTTGCTTTGATGCCAACTAATCAAAGATCCAATTTCCTCGAACAAAAAGAAATGACGTCATTTTGGATTGCATTTTCTTCGAATATTAATATATATTTTATTAAAAATACAATCATGGCACAAGGACGAAAAGGAGGAAAGGAGTTGAGGCTGGTCTTAACTATCTTATATCTAGCTAATTCAATTCACGACCCATTCACTCGTTACAATTTTGCACATTCACCACAAAGAAATCTAGTTCATCACCATTCAATCCTCCATACATCATCATACCGTATCCTCTCAGGGGATCTAAAAAACGCATCCCGAGATTTAAAAATTTAATGATAATAAATATTTCGTAGATAAAAATCTAATATTTGAAAATGAGAGGGAGGGATGAGACCCAAAACAAACTAAATATCAAACAAGGCAAAATAAATATAACTGATGTTAGTAGGACCCGTCCAACCCTCAAAAAAGAGAGGCCGCCGCTGTATTCTGCCCATTGAACAAAATCAAGAGGCTCTCTCGCTAAGGGAGAGGGAAAAGAGAAAACATAGACGTGCATGAGGAATCAATAAAGCTGTCCCAGTCGAGATGAAAGGGGGCCAAAACAAACTGGGGAGGTTGGGAATCTCAACTCGGATCATAACCAAAGATGTAGCCAGGAGCAGGCCAGGAACAACACTTACTCACATTATATATATATATATATATATATATATATATATATATATATATATATATATATAATTACATGAATCATTCATACAAAAACAGATATAGAGGTTTATGATTTAAATGGCGAGAATACATCTTCGCAAACAGGGATCATCATTCATATACAGGTTCGAGGTTAGTGTACCTTATTGAAATTGTTTGCGAAGATGTATTCTCACCATTTAAATCATTAACCTCCTATATTTGTTTTTTTATGAATGATTCATGTAATATAAATTGAACTGCACCTATAATCCAAATATATATATATATATATATATATATATATTTATTGTTCAATATATATATATATATATATATATATATATATATATATATATATATATATATATATATTCATGATGTTTTGGTCTGCAAACATTTCAAGTGCTAAATAAGATTTGCAACGATGCCCAACAATCTATTATTTTATAAATTATTTTTTAAGACCATAATTGCTAAATAAATCTGCATTCTACTTCTGAATTAATTCAATAAAAAAATGCATCTGGTCGGATTATGTTTTTAATATGCATCTATCATTTTTTTTTAACTCCTTCGTTACTGCGAATGATATCCTCAAAGGAGAAATCCCCTTGTTCTGGAGGAGTTGACAAGATATCTCGTGAGAAATTTATTTTTCCATTGTCCTGTTACGAGAAACATCTAACCATGGTTCTTCTTAGTTTGGCAACAAATAAAAAAAAAATTCAAGCCAATTAGTAGATGGAGATGAAATCAACGAAAGACATGATTGTCATGAAACGACTTACAATGTATTTTACCGACATGAAGTCATAAAAATAAATAGATAGAAAACAGCGTCCCAAATGATCAATTTATGATTATGAATTTGTTTGTATATATCCCAATTGATCAGAGTGAATCAGAGACTCACGCCCCTGTTAATATTTTCAAATGATCGTGCATTTTTCTTAAAGTATTGATTCGTAGTAACAGAACTAAAATTTATATAAGCGTTTTATCATGATGTTGACTATTTATATCAGTACATTTTTTTTTGTGTCAAATTGTACCAACGTAGATATACTGTAATGAAGAGCAAAACGTGCTCACAGATCATATTGCATTGATTATACAAACATATCAATAATAAACATATCATTAATAATCATAATAATATTCATATTAATAATAACCATATCAATAATAATTATATCAATAATGAACATATCAAAAATGAACATATCAATAATAAACATATCAATAATAAACATATCAATAATAAATATATCAATCATAAACATATCAATCATATTAACAACAAGGAAGTCTGTAAATGCAACTGTATATATATTGCTTAAAATGTGTTATATTTGTAATGAAAAAGCGTTTATAGAAAGTGACAATGCAGTGATGGTGATTCTGCGTCTCAATTCGATTGTATGAAACTGATAAGTGACATGAATTGATTCCAATGTCTACATTCTTTCTGTTTGTCTGGCTGCCTGCCTTAATAAGATGGCTACACAGAGGCCCATAGATAAATAGAATGGTTAGAGAGAGGCCCATAGATAGAAAGACATGAAGAATGGGTTATAAGTACGAATAAATACGTTTTCTTGCTACGCAGTTGAATTTTCGTTATAAATGTTCAGTTTTCGATAAAAATATTAGCATTTAATATTTTACATATAGATGAATGTATGTATATGTTCATATATATATATATATATATATATATATATATATATATATATATATATATATATATAGGGGAGTGTGTGTTTATATAGATAGATAGATAGATAGATAGATAGATAGATAGATAGATAGATTATCAAAAAAAATAAAAAGTGGACATCGAAGCTACGACTCAGCGGCACACCAAAACCACACACCTAATAACCGCTGGATGTTGACCAATTTCCACTTTTATATTTACATACCCTTTATCCCTGATATTGAGCTCTATGGCCCATGAATATAGCATACCTTAAAACAATATTTTATCACATACGCACATACACGCACACACGCACACACACACACACACATATATATATGTGTATGTGTGTGTGCGTGTGCTTGTGTGTATTTATATATATATATATGCTCATATATATATGCTTATAGACACACGCACGCACACACACACACACACACACATATATATATAATAAAGATATTAATTAGTTATAGACAATGTCGAGTCGCATAAATATAAACGTGGTCATACTCGTGCATCGAATGAATATCGTCTTCATCAATATATATGTGTGTGTGTGTGTGTGGAGAGAGAGAGAGAATTAATGTGGAGAAACTTATCACTTATCTGACTGGTGTTGGTTCAGTCATGCCGACTTCGATGTTTAAGGAGCACATTGCAGTAATGTTGTCACCCTTCAGGGCTGTTGGCTTCTCTCTAATATATGTTTAATAAAATTTTTTTTTTCACTTAGCTTCCACTCATTGCAAGCATCACCCTTCGTTACCGTGTATTACTTTTGCTTTATATACAATATTGCTTGACAAACATGCTTCATTTAATGGACACTCCTCTCTGATTTATAGACCTCCTTGTTATTACGCTCTTGGAAACATCTTTTGTGATTTGCCATTAACTTTTCCATACTACAGATCAAATTGTAGTCAGCTATGAAATTGCATTTATTAAATAATTTCTTCAATATAGGCGAGTTGTAAAGTGTTTATTAATCAATTTCAAGAACGTCCTCGCTACTTCATCTTTGATATTAGTAATATAGGAATTGTTGAACCAAATAATTTTCCGATTTCTTTGTTGCTTTTAGTTTTTCCATTATTATTTCCACCACTATATTTCCTCTCAGATTTCAGGCATATATTATACTTGCTCGCGTCTAATGTCCTTTGGTATACCGCAGCAGCACTTTCATTAAATATTTCCTCATTGGAAGTTTTAGTTGGCCTTTCCTGGATAGATTCGTATGGACATTTAAGGAGGGATACTTGGAGGGTTGTTTAACTCCGTATTGTCATACCTTATCTTTATCTTTTTTTTTTTTTTTGGTGAACATTGCGACTCTTAGATTAAACATGGTATCTGAAAAATCTACTTATGTCAAGTTGCTGCTTATACTTTCAATTATGGTCCTTAAAAGCCGACATAGTTCTTTCTTTTTGGCATCATCTTCTATTGGGCCTTTACTTAGCTATAAGGCGTTCGTCTCTATAGAATCCCATACCGTAGATATCAAACAGGTTGATTAAGCTTCTTAATAGTTAAACCCCTACAAATTAATTAGCCACCGCTGAGTCATATGTTCCTATAACGATGTCAAAATTTGAGTTTTTATTTTTTAAGCTTTTATTTTTTAGGCTTTTATTTTTTAGGCTTTTATATTTTAAAGTGCTGGCAAGTTATAATTTCCATATTGAGTTTCTAGTGTTGCCTGGTTATTCATTCATGTCAAATTCACTTTTTTAACATTGCAAAACATTCACAACTCGTAGTGCTGTTTCCAAACGAAGCATCTGCGCATGCTCCCTCAATTCGCTTTTATTTCTGATGGTGTCTTGAAATTCAATTTTCAGTCTTGCATGTGAATATTGTCCGATGTTTTTATATTTTTTGCATTTTCTCTCAAAATATGTTTAATAAACACCGCATGCAGAACACTCAAAACTGGATTTCAACTGTGTTTAATATTGATTCACCCCAGGAAATATCAGGGGTTTGAATGGAATTTAATATAAATTAGGAATTTTTATTCAAAGATGACATTATCTTTGGTAACCCCTTTGTGTTCTGGGCTCATTCTAAGAGA